TGCGATTGCTCCTCGCTTCAATTTGCTGGAGACTTAGCCTTAATACGATCCGATGTAATATTATTATACAAAGCTTTATGTAACTAATCAATTTTAGTATCAAGACAATTGCATCATCATTAGCGGGGATATTTATGGGCGACAAAGTCTCCTCTTTGGCCGTTCAAGCAATGAATTCGTTTCGTCACTTTGCAAACAGGAGAGTGCTGATGTAAGGGTTCAGAGTTTGCTCAATGTGTTTTTTCTAGCTTAAAGAATGGTTTGATGTCCCACATGGCTAAAGGTCAATGCCTCTCCTTTCAAAAAACTCTCATTTAGGTATCTTTGTTCTTTTCTGCCTTTTCTCCAAGAATTTTCGAAGGAAAATGTTCCTCAGGTTTATGTATCATGTAATTTTATCGCTGCAAGACTAGCACAGGAAAGTAAGCTTCTTTGCAAGAACCATAAACTTTTTCACTCTGATTACTGGCCTTTCTATAGAACCCAGGTTCATCCACCTGCGCCCATTACGAGGTCTGGTCCGCGCATGCTTTTCTGGTTGCACTGTTCAAGGACAATCCAACTTTAAAATAAAGCTAAATCTGATTCAAAAGCTTTTTTATTAACATTAATTACGCCTAAAACGGTTAGGTGTTAAGTAATGTATAGCAGCTATCATCGAGATCAAAAAGCATCATAAATTCTAAATCTAGGTGAAGCTGGGCGCGCTGCGTGGCCACGAGATTCTTCGGCAAAACGTCGATCTAACCCAGGTCTCATTGTTTTATCGGTTTCTTTATTTTCGGCAAATGTTGACTTTTTAATCAGAATCATTTTGCAGACGCAATTGCCAACAATGATTGAAGAGTCAACGTGTTGACCGTTTTGACCAGACCGTCGCCATTCTGTCTTTCTAGAATCTCTTTATTTTATGACTTTAGTGATTTAATCAAAGTATTAGTTGCTTTTGTTTTAATGAGTATATTTGGGTTTAGTACTTAGGCCAAAAAAGGAAGTTTGGAAATGCAATCTGCTTTTAGGCTTTTCGAGCATATTTTCGCCATTGGTTCATAGTTGACAACTAGGCGCCTTTGTCATTCACAGTGTTGGTAAGCCTCTCTCCCTCACGACATAAAACAGCAAAATCTCAGAAGGCCGGGCTGCTTTGAAAAATGAAAAGCTAAAGGTACCAAAGGTCGCTGGAGACACTGTAGTTTCGATTATAACGGATCCAGTTTGATTTGCAACGACCAAAACTTTTGAACAGATGTTTTTGAAGTGGAGTGCCTTAGTAAAGATTTTTGAATCAGCTGCACAACGTTATGCTATTGCAAAATCGCTTAAAAAATTGACGAACTCATCTCAAAGAACACGTGGTTGGTTGAAAATCACATTTATAACGAAGGAATTCAAAAACTTAGCCTATAAGAATTTATGGAATGTAGTTTTAAAACAGCGATAGAAATGGAGAAAAAGTTCACAACAGGGCCATCAAGACAATTCAATTTTTATTTTCGAAAATTCCTTGCATTTTAGCTACAGGCAAAAAATAAAAATCATTGTGAAATTGTGTGAAATTGCTAATTGTGAAAACTTGTAATAAAATGGCAAGATTGTTGGGAATGGAGGTAAACATTACAGGATATCGTTTAACTTGACGGTGAACATTACGGGCTACAGTTTTGGGGTTTAAAGGAAAAATGTCTATCAGTTAACCTTAAAATGACAAGAATTTTTAGGTTGCCGACAGTGACACCGGTGACCCTTACGAATACTAAACCCATCTGTGCCCATGGCTAGCCACGGATCCCAGAATACTTTTCAGCATTATAAGCTTTTCAGCACCTTCAAGGAAAATGTCCAGGAAAATGGGAAAGGATGTGGCCAGCATCTTTAATTGCTCGAGAGGGACGCTGCACCACATTCTCTCTTTATCAAAGGTCAAAGGAAGCAGCGCCTTGACACGGACCTACCAAAGTTGGACGACGCGTGTTTGGAAGGCGTTATTTACAATGAGAAAAAAATCAATTTATTTCAGGCGGATGGAACCCATCTTATTCGGCGACTAACTGGAAAGCGGTACGCACTCAAGTACATTCGGACTAGCGTGAAACTCAACGGCGGAAACATCTGTGTTGGGTAAGAACCGTTTTGGTATTTTTTTTCTTTAGGAACGATGTCTCGAACTTCAGTAGGTCCATTAGTCTGTAAGTCGTGAACTTGGCGATGGATGATGTGGCTTACAAAAACATTATAGAGAGCCAAATACTTCCCTTTACCAATTAAACGATGCCTCCCGGATGGATACTTCACCAGGACAACGACCCGAAACCCAAGCCGAGACTGATGATGGTGACACTTCAAAAAATTTTTGACCATTCCTTCCCAATCCATTCCATTTCACTTCCCTCTCAATTCTCATCGATCTTTTGATAAAAGTTGAATCATTACAACTGAATATTGCGGATTCTGGACTGAATATTGCGGATCTAGGACAAAAAAAACAAGTAGCTTATGAATATTTTGTACAGATAAAGATTTTAAGATTCTAAACTTTTATTGACTCAAAAATCATTAAATTAACGATATCTCTTAAAATTTGCATAAAAACTTATTTCATGAATTTTCCCTTTCAGATTGACTTGACTCTAAAACAAATTTTTCAAGATTCAGGTGGGTCGCACAATTGGCGGGGATGAACATTCATCCTCAAAGGACTGCAATTGCAAATTCGTTTCCGTTTGGTTCCGGTGAGTTTTAAATATCCATAGATACATACAATAAGAATTATCATTTTACCGTAAATTGAATTTGTGAATTTGAGTGGATTTGAAATGAGCATCGATGGAGTCGCACGAAATTCAACGATACGGCGACTCGCCTCGAAGTTTCAACGAAAGTAACGTAAGAAATTGAGAGGTTTTTGGGAAATTAATTTACTGGGTTTGGTCCTAGAACCAGCCCTGCTTTGGTAGCTTCGATCTCATTTTTCTGTTATATCCCGGTAAATGTTTTTTCAAAAAGATATCGATTCGTACTTTTCTTCAAGATTTCAATTAGCTTTATTGACCTGAATTTTGTGGTGGTTCAAAATGATTTTATTTAAACGGATATCCCAAAAATAGAGTGGGGAGACATCGAAAAATGAGGGAAAAGGCAAGAATGGAAAGGAAACGTCTCTCTTTTCCCCTATTTTCCACCTTTGATTTTTTCCTCCATTTCGATGATTGTAATCAATTCCAGCGACTGTCTTTTTTGACCATTCTATCCCAATCAGTGTCAGACTTATAGTAAAGGCCATGAATTATAAGTACACCTACTGTTTTTATCCCCAAAATTCGGTCAAAAATCAAAAGAAAGCTAAGAGCTCTATCGGGTCAAAATTTGTGTTTTTCCTTCCTTTCACCGTCCACAAATCTTTTGCTTTCATTTTCTCATTTTTTAATCCTTTAAAAAGGGCCCTCATGGTGCATTGGCTAAGTTCTCACTTCCAAACTGAGGGTTCGGCCCCCTAGGGTTCTCTTCCCTAGCCCGTGCGCCCAGACTAGAGGTCTCTTCTCTAGCGGAGTTCGAAAGATATAGAAAGAGAGAAAGATCTAGAAAGACATAGAAAGAAATAGAAAGATTTTGAAAGTTAAAGAAGGATAGAAAGAAATAGAAAGTTAAAAAGATGTAGCAAGAAGGATCCATACATAGAAAGATTGAAATATATGGAGAGATAGAAAGATATAGAAAAACATCGAAAGATATAGAGAGATATAGAATTTAATCAGAATCATTTTGCAGACGCAATTGCCAACAATGATTGAAGAGTCAACGTGTTGACCGTTTTGACCAGACCGTCGCCATTCTGTCTTTCTAGAGGTCTCTTCTAGACTAGAGGTCTCTTCTCTAGCGGAGTTCGAAAGATATAGAAAGAGAGAAAGATCTAGAAAGACATAGAAAGAAATAGAAAGATTTTGAAAGTTAAAGAAGGATAGAAAGAAATAGAAAGTTAAAAAGATGTAGCAAGAAGGATCCATACATAGAAAGATTGAAATATATGGAGATAGATAGAAAGATATAGAAAAACATCGAAAGATATAGAGAGATACAGAAAAATATTGAAAGATATAGAAAGATATAGAAAAATAGAAAGATATAAAAAGATACAAAGATAAAAGGTTGGAAGAATATAGAAAAATATTGAAAGATATAGAAAAAAATTGAAAGATATAGGAAGATAGAAAGATATAGAAAAATAGAAAGTAATAGAAAGATACAAAGATAGAAGGTTAGAAGGATATAGAAAAATATTGAAAGATATAGAAAGATATGATAATGATGGAAGATATGAGTCAATAATGAGTCTTTCTATCTTTCTATCTTTCTATTTCTTACTATTTTTCTATATCTTTCTATCTTTCTATATCTTTCTTTCTTTCGATATATTTCTATCTTTCTAGGTTTCTATTTCTTTCTATTTTTCTTTATCTTTCTATCTTTCTATCTTTCTATCTTTCGATCTTTCGATCTTTCTGTATCTTGCTATCTTTCTTTATCTTCTTGCTAAATCTTTCTATCTTGCTAGAGCTTTCTATCTTTTTCTATGTCTTTCTAAGTCTTTCTATCTTCTAGATTTTTCTAGATCCTTCTATATCTTTCTATATCTCTTATCTTTCTATATCTTTCTATATCTTTCTATCTTTCTTATCTTATATCTTTCTAGCTTTCTAAATCCTTGTTTCTTGCTATATCTTTCTTGCTATATCTAAGGATTTGAAAAATTGTAGTGTAATGTGTGTCAAATCAAAGTGTGTCAAATCACCCAAAAGAAAATTGTAGTGTAATGTGTGTCAAATCAAAGTGTGTCAAATCACCCAAAAGACTCTCTCAGACGACTTCATCACTCTCGGGGCACAACAAGGGCGAAAGGGCAAAGGCAAGGAGAAAGGACAAAAGCGGCCGGGAGAGTATGAAAAGAAGAAAGGCCCATCCACGAATCCCGACAGCCGCATCGACGTTGGTGTCAGCTCGTCGGTATGTATGTGGATTTCAAGGAGTTCAACTGGTACGTTTGCATTTTGTCGCCAAGTTAGTTTTTCGATTGGATTTTCTCCTCACTAAATCATTTGGCAAATCTCATGAATCCAGGATTGGCAAGCAGGATTTGCAAAAAGCATTTTTCAGTTGGCTACAACGCATTTAAGTGTGTGGGTGAATGTTCGAACCCATTACCCGCTCGTCTGAACGCCACCAATCACGCGGTTATACAGTCGCTTTTGAACAGGTTCGTCAAACTCTGCTCAAGCCAAACTGCTCGAAAAATTGATCTTTTAATAGTAGAATTTTATATTATTGTAAACTAAAAAAGGGAATCTCCCTACAGACAAAAATTCAGCCTTAATCCGGAGATCCCTGGGCCGTACTGCGTGGCCACCGAGACCTCAGCGCTCAACATTCTATACATGCTGGCAAATTTTCGACTTTGAAAGATTTTCTCTTACCGAGATTTCAACAACACAATTCAAATCAAGAACCATGATGAAATGCTGGTGGAAGCCGGCGGATGTCGATAAAATCGCGTTGTGGCCGCCAGGTCGTTGAGTAGTTGAAAAGTTCGCAAAGTGACCCACTCTTGACTTTGGTGTGTTTGTTGTTTTGTTTTTTTTGATTTATAGATTACCTTTTAAGGACTGATTTTATTTATCATTAGGAACCCAAGCAAATTTTAAATTTTTCTTTTCTCGGGTCCAACAGCTGCAAGGGTAGAAAGATATTGAAAGGTAGAAAGATATTGAAAGATAAAGAAGATAGAAAGATATTGTGCAATGTCCTGCGAGAATACCGATAGGCGCGTCGATTATTAGATATTTCTTCTGAATCTAGCAAGAAATACAATAAAATAGGATTAATCGTCGGTTCAGTGTTTTATGGCAATACAAAAGGAATACGAAAGGAATACGGAGAGAATATGAAAAGTGCCCCTGTAAAGTGGGCTCCGACCCTTTTATCCGTCCCTTTATCTTAAAAGCAATCTTTCAGAGACGGGACAAGAAAACCAGACATTCAAATCAAAACATTAAATAAGATTTCACAGAAAAGAACCACTTTTCTGCACACTCCGGCGCGCGAAAAGTCAAAGGAACAATCTAACAACAAATTTGATAAGTTTGGGCAAGAGGAGCATTACGGCGATAAAACTCAGAAGGATGGGAAGATGATCCGT